TTTCATATAGTTGTTAGCGTCATTCTTCTGTATGATAAAAGGTACCACAAAATAGGACAGGGTAAAATAGTGGCAGCGTACTTATAGCTTGAAGTCACTGTTGACAGCCACACAATATCGGTAGGATGAGCTCTTGGAGCGGACCTTTACACGACCAGCACTAGCTACAAGTAAGACTCTATTCACTCTAATAATTAAGTACAACTGATTCTTTACTGCTATACATCGTTTCGGTGATTCTAAGCTACCTGACTAAGTACTCTAACCGGGCCATTATGATACCTTACGTCTAGTTTGAATGCGAAAGGGTGCGCTATGTTGCTGATTAAAGCGTCGATTCGTGTGGCCTGCTGTTGTCGTTGTCCTGGTGAACATCGATAAGAGACACCACCACCATCATCATCAAATACAGGATTTTCGCCCAAACGCCTTCGGGAAGAGTTACAAGTGGTTCCGTTGCCGTCAACTAAGCAAATAGCGTACAACACCTGCGTATATTGCCGTAGATGTTCTTATGATCTGCCCCGTTGATCGATGGACAGATTGGCGAAAATAATTTGACCATTTTGACAGAAAATCATTAGACAGTCACGACTAGGTAGACCCAACTATTGAGTCGACAGTTAAAAACGTTGCGCGGGTGACTGTCAATAGTCATCTATCCACTCACAGGCAAACATATGCAATAGATAAGAAATTACGCAAAAACCGGTTGTTTTTCTTAGACATATAACCAAGATGTAAGACTCTACCGAATGTTTCGAATAACCGTTTGCTTACCAGTATTAGAGATTCGCACTGACGCAACCAATTCTTCTGTTAGCGAACCTGTCAACAATTCCCACATACGCCACGTAAGTTCAGCTGACAATCAGTCTCACAGCTTTAATCAGACCCCCCTACAAATCGATAAGTGCTACCCTTGAGTTTGTGTAAGTGGGGTCTTCTTGGAGGCTGCAACACCGATCTGGCACAATGGGCAATAAACAACAGGTGATGACTCACGTATGTTTTACACTAACGACCTGCGGTCAAGCTTCAAACCAAACGTTCGAGGTCTTGTATTTTTGAATTCTTCATTCATTCATTCATTAATGAACTCTTATTGCAAAATGAAACATTTCTCGCCATGTGTTCATACAACAACTTAATTGACTAGTGCAAAAAAGAACAAAGAAAATCTCCTTGAAAATTATAAATTTTCAAGGAGATTTACCAGGAGATAGACTATTTCTATATAGAACGGTATCAAATAGCTGTCGTTAGGCCAATGCTACGGTCATTATTTCGAAACTCAACCTGCCATTCAGGCTTCCTGTTGATTCGATGAAACGATATTTAGATCGAGCTGATGAACGTTAAGAGGCACAAATGACGAACTATTGTGGTACACAGCTTATGTTCTCAGAAGAGGTATTATCCTGTGCAAGTTAATCTCCTAACAACAGCAAACTGCCAGACCTTTCAAGTTTAGCACGAAGTAGGCAGTCAATAGGACGCACATCGTTTGGGATATATTTTGACACCTTATCCAACGCAATCTAAAAAACATTCTACGTTACTTAAGCTGGCTAGAATGGTTTCCCCGGAGTCGCTGATATGGCAAGATCAGGGAGAAATCATGTTGTGCAGTAAGGAGAAATCTCGTCCTAATGAAAGGCTGTCTTTGGATTTCGTCCTTTGAAAGAGCTGCTACAAACATAGCGTTTATTTTGGATTATCTCAAATCATTTGGCCTAGCGATCCAGTTGGCTTGTTAAATTTTCAGAGTCTATACATACGAACCCACAAAAACAGTGATTGATCCGTTTTCAAGTGACGACCTAGCTTATCCTAATCAATAAAATTCCTTCTATTCGTGGTCGATTTAACCAAGGATCTATGTCAAGCATTTGTATGAGAAACCTAACTTAGAAATGACGGTACTGGTATTTTTATGGTTGATTTATGTCAAAAAATTTTAAAGTGTAAAAAAGACAGTGTGTGAATAGAAGTTATGGACAGACTCGCGCCGCATCGGCAAAAGACCAGACTTGTTTTGGCTATTAGCCATTTTTAAAACTGACTCATTGCCAATGAACTCAAAGGTCATCGTACTCAATAATTTTCTTGCGCAAAAAATGCCCTTATTTTCTCATGATTTAGTATTCCTTATTTGACCCTTTTTCATTCTTGGTTTGCATCAATATCATTATACAGGAAAATAATTACAGTACAAGTGTTTACTTAGCTGTACCCGAGAGATATTCTTTTTATGATTGACCTTTTAAACATTGATCTTGTTTTTTTTTGAGAGTGCTATAAGGATTAATGTTAAGAATTTCTAGTATACTCTGCAATATTTAGATTAAAGATCTAAAAAAAAAAAAAAAAACGTGTCTAGATCAGCGCAGTACTGTGCAGCCGGCTAAATGACATTTAGGGCTCTTTGATAACTAAGTGCAAGCTTCCGTGTTACCATAACGTCAGGATCCCTATGAGAATTGGTGTTGGCCTTCTCGTTGTTGAGAGTATAGTGTAGTTGATAATGAGCCTACAATAGCCATGTCAGTTCATCAGACCACCTTCAAAGCTAAATAGATTGTCCTTTGCGGCCTGTATTGTGTCTTGAATCCTGGCAGAGCTGTGCAGCTTCCGATCACCTACAATGTACGTACATATAGTCTGACTAACCGATCCAGAAATTGCCTCTTCTGTGTCAAAAATAGAAGTCTTAAGCAACTATCTGGGAACAGAATTCGCTAAGGCCAGTTCCTACAAATATTGAAGCTATGATTCCCATCATGAGCGAAATGAACACAGCTGGTTTGGTAGAACTTTCAACTTGATAATACTCTCCGACGATAGAATCTGTTGACGATAGAACATAGATAAAGTTGAAAATGTTCATGTTTTTTTTTCTATAAATGACAAAATTTTCTTCGTACCAAATACTATAGTTCCCGTAGCGACGCAGTCACAACGTGTCGGCCCCCTAGACGTAACGACAGGAAAAAGTAGGTGGCGTGGATAAACTTCGTTTAGTGCTGGAAGGGGCCCGTCGTCTGAAACAATGCTAAATGGCAAAATATTGGTTTATTTTCGGGATACTGCAGATTTACTGAATGTCGGAGCATAGTCATAGGAAGTGAGCGTGCACACACTTTGTTTGGGGACTAGCCATCTTAAAGAATAGCATTGCTGGACGTATAATTCGAGACGCTTATTGTGATCGTAATAGTACTTGGTTGACGTGTGGTATCATGCTGGTACTCATTTAGCAATCTCTAAAAGGACAAAAAACCAATGTTATGACCGACATGCCTTTTACAAAAATAGCACGCAGGACACACGATTGGGATATCTTCCTTTTAACTATTTGCATTAAGGCCAGCGTTCGGATAGCAAAACTCGTTGGAACTACTTGTCTAGCCTTGAAAATACTGAACTTATGTTTGGTATCTGTGCGAAATATGATTACCATTAGTTTCTCTGCACGATGACGGTGTCGATAGATGCAACCATAACTTCAACATCGTACACCGGTGTAACTTTTGCAGAGGAAAACTGTGAAAAGTTTTAGTGAATAGACGGCGAACCCCCCAGTGGTTTCATTGGGGCTCGAGTGAAAAATGGCCAATAAGTTTACTCGTTCAGTATGGCTATTCCCATAAGGAACTGACAGGTTCCCGCTAGAACTAATGACAATTGCAACGGCCTGATACGCATCACGCGCTAAGCTAATTAAACGCCATAATCCGGGCACTGAAAAGCAAAATGAATACGTCTGCTAAGTAAGATATATATAAATATATAAGGCCACTTGAGACATATAACAGCAAATAGGGCGCAACATTCTACTAATCAACATAGATATCTGTTTGCTAATATCATAAGTCAAACGTTTGGAACAATTTATACTTACAACCTACATGTAACACCTTCTGACAGGAGCAAATAATGATTTTCTAAATGTCGGATTTGGCTGCAAAGAAGCTTTAATACCTCGCGTATCCTCAGTTTAGCATGTCATCGACCTAAGCAGAAACCGCCTACTTTATTTTTGCTCATATAGAAAAAGATTTCTCGAAAAAAAACTATTAGAAGCTTCCTATAGTGCCTATCACTAACGAAAGGACCGAACTTGAGTTTGCCATAAGGTTCATGAGTGTTACTGCAGGATTTCGATAGGTTTTTTCTGCTCTGTTCACAGGCGTAGCTGCTGTCTTCGGAGCCACGCCAATAGTGACTATGTGTTTATCCTCAAGATTCGTAGAACCTAACCACCGTAGCGCTTGGTCGAAGACGGCATCGCGATTTGTGACGCTTAAAATATGTTTGTAGGCTTTTCGCATGCTTTTCGCTATCAGAATCTAAGTTGCCTCCCAGTGTTTCAGCCCACAAACAATTTTGAGTAGCGGCTGGAAGATGTGGGAAGAGTAGACTTCAGCAAAAGATATCTCAGACATCGGGAATTCGGCCTTTTTCGGATTGAGACTCTCCGAAGTGAGTCTTTCTGCTGTACTGCTGCTGCGTCTGACGAACGGTTGGGTGTGAGCAAGGTCGAGGTCGTCGCTTGTGCCGTTTCCTTCCGCCGAAGAGACACAGCAAGCGCCGATGCTCGATGTATACACAGTCGCATATGGTCGTCATGCTGCGTTTTTGCCGATAGTAGCAGCATATCACTGACTTTGACTGGGGACGGGGGCTGGTGCTTTGGCGGTATTTGTTCGATTTATGGCGACGTCGAGCGCTGGTATCGACAACAGATCAGATTGGACTGGATGAAATACGAGGGGTAGCACGAAAAAGCTATAGTGAGTCAGCATCGGCTGCCGCTGTTTTTGCGGCAACAGCGCCCGCGGTAACATTGACGATGGCGACGTCACCAGCAGTAGTGGCAGCAGCAGCGGCAACAACAGCAGATTTTGCCCTCTCAAAGACCCCGAGGAGGAGGGCTTTTATTGAAGCCTGAGCCACGCGAGTCTCGTATAAGACCCGGCTCACATTCAACTTCAGCCAGCATTTCTCGAGCGTTGCCCTGCGTGAACTTGTGTCTGTGTGCGATTCCCTGTGCGCGTACAAACTGTCATTGTAGAGAGCGCCATAGGTGTTGAAGTAACGTCACCATCGCACCGTATTTCGTATACGTACACTGTATTCAAAGATACGCGCAGACGGTGCTTAGAGATGATGCGGTCGGCGGTGATACTCGTTTTGCTGGGGATTAGTGCCGGTAAGAGTCCTGTTAATTTGTTGGTTTCTGCTAAGGTGAACATAGCCATGAAGTGTCTTAATGGGTCAACACGAATTACGTTGATGAAAAAGACAAATAGGCGAAATATCGGCTACGAAGCCAATTGTGCGATCTAACCTGCGATTACAAGGCCATTGCCAGAGAAATAATTGTTCAGTGATGTGTTTTTCTTGTTATAGTGTCAGCGAAATTAGCTAGGATCTAAAACATGCTACTGTTACGCAAGGTCGTCTCATGAAGCCTGACGCCCTGGGGGCATTAGATACTTTTGAGTCGATATTAATTTACCCATAGAAATCAAACTCATAAAAAAATAGATGTTGGCTCTACATAAAACAGGAGCTAGGGAATGCAAGGCTCAAGGAACCGGACCTCTTCATGCTGTCAGATAATATCTAATTGATTTAAAGCTCGCCACGGAAAACTGAGTTAGTTAAAACAGTTCCAAAAAATTGAATCCCACCAAAAACCCTTTTTCCTTTAATTTTCTGAAAATTCATAGTATCCATGTGATCTTGTGTGTTGTATTGCGACAATTGTCTCTTTTTCTAAGTACATATGGTTTGGATTTACTAGTCACCTAATTTTTTAGCTAGGCTATAGAATTAATTAAATATTAAAACGATTCTACGCAGTCTTAACGTTACACCCTGACGTGCTATTAAACTTTGTTAACTTCAAGTCATCATTTGGACTTTTCTTCCTTCACTGATAGAAGCAGAAGGCTTAATATAAAACACTTCACTGGGTTGATAATTACTTGCATATGGCACCTGTTGGCTTCCCGTCAGTTTGCCAATATTTTGTTTTAATAAAATAATAATGTTTGTAAGTTATTATTATCCTTTTTGCTATTTTTCAAGCAAATGATATAAGCAAATAATACTAAGATAAATAATACTAAAACCACTTTTTGCATACATATAACATATATGTACTTGGTACAAAGGGGAGGAATGGCCTTGTTTGGACAGAGGTGATATATGTCAATCAGTGAAGAGAACAAGCAAGCACGGTATAGGATCTTAATGTGTGATTGTGAACCATAGGGATTCTGCTAGGGATGATGGCTTTGCCCCCTCAGAATAGTCGTGTTAGAACTAGCTGAAGAAGGACAAAAGAATGTGTGTGAATGAATGTTTGCTTTGCTTCTGGGTCGTACCTCCGCCATTGGTTACAGAATGGGTGTCAGCTCAAAATTGTCACCTGCGTGAACTGGATCTCTGCTCTGCGACGCTTCTTCTGTTTAACCAGAACCCCAGCGGGGTCGCTACCACCGACAATGAGCTGGATAAACAGTGCGGTTTCCTTTCCGAAGCTCAGGGTTGTTTTAACAACTTCACCACCAGGTGCGTAAACAAATAAATAGACGGGGTACATTTGTCATACATAGCGTTATGGATGTGCAGAAAACATCCCATTCGTACGATTCCGTTGTGGCCACGTGATGTCAATAGTGCAGCAGTAGAAACCCATCGGGTCGGACCATTTGATAAATAGGTATACTATATTCTACACCCCTATCAGTTCATAGCTTTATCTGTTAATTGTACATATCGAAAGATTAGATTGTGATAATATGGTTTTCAAATCACATAGTTGGGTGCTGACAGTGGTCTACTATGGTCGATAGAGAACCAAAAATGAGGCTATGGAGAAAAGAATGTCACATTGAAATTAAATACAAGACGCCTAAAATTGGCGTAACAAAGCGATTGGTCTTCCTTGTGGCTTAGCTCACGGGTCGCAGTGAGGACGTCCAAGTTCTCTTTCTCCGTACACTCGGGGCTGATCGTTCATTGAACTCCCTGCTTCTGATCAGCTTTCGAAAAGTCAACTTATGCAGCGTACAGCATAACTGCCGTTGAGGTGCCTCACCTGCTTTTGGCTAGTTATTACATGGTAGCTTGTTTTTGACGGTGAGATGGTCGAGTTGTAACAATACGATCAGTCCCCAGTTGTTAATTATGTGGAAGGCGCGAGTATATACATAGCCACCAGCGAAGATAGTAATTCATCTATAACCCACCGCGATTATTTGGTATATAGTATTTGTGATATAGTTGAAGCCGTTGAATTGGGCAAGACAACGTTACAGGCATTCAAGTTTAACTAATAGCATCGTGTGCCTGGACTTAAGTTCGGTGAACCTTATTTCACTATACATTTAATAAGAACTGTGGAAATATTGAAGATTTACCTTTCTAAACTACCCAACTTCGCGTAGTATTTGCTAGGTAGAATATGTTGCGGCGAATTTTTTTCATAAAAGAATAAAGTTGTTCTATATGAAATAGCCGTAAGACGATGCAGTAAAAGCATTTTACTAGGTGTAAGTGGTAGGAAGAATATGAACTTCTGCACGACAAATGATGGGCTTCACTTGAAGCATCTGGCCGGTAAAAGTTCCCAAGGACGGCAGAGTTATCTCCTAGAAGAGGAAAAATACTCCAAATATTAGCAGTAGCGGGCGCGCACTGTTCGAAAATGCGTAGGTCGAGCGAGCGCGGCCAATTTATAATACCTCCACTAAATTTTAAGAGCCAACTCCAAGGCACTTTGGGCCGTCCCTTAGGTAAAATGTTCTTCACAGCATCTTGGGATTAAGAGGATTCTAAAAGAAAAACCGAAAAAAAAAAAGAACACTTTTAGAAAAGCATTCGGATGATCGGGAAGGTAGACTCGTATTATATATTTCCACAAGTCAGGTGGCCCTTTCTCGCCAGCGTGATCATATTAGACGTACATGTCCTCCCCTTGTTACGTGTCTGTGAAAACGTAACTATGGGCTGGTCACATCGGTAGGGTACATTTGGCTGATAGCTTGAAATATGAGTGTTTTACTTTGTATTTAGTAAATCAGACGAGTCGTTTCGACGGTTAGAATGCCGACAATGTCTCCATATACTGGTCGCAGTTAGCCCTGCATCAACTGGTCTATATTATAACGTTGTAAGGTTGTCAATATACTAATCGCCGTATCGCGTTTACGTATCTCTAGTGGGTACTGTTTCACCAACTCATAAGGCGTCCAATGATGGGGCACTTCTCAGCTTCTATGGTACCAATCGGACGACGGCAAAACGCGTATTATCAATAGCGGCAGCACGCGTTCTTTAACGCAAAGTTCAGGGCCCTTTCAAATTCTTTCGACCGATCGCGTCGCAAGTCGGTTAAAAAAAATCGATTTCTTTGGTCTATCGGATATGGCTTATAACACTGTTCTAACTGTCGTTTGTAAACTAATCAGAACTAATTGTTGGTGTCGACTATCCACACTGCTTTATGTATTCGTACATTGTAGAAGATCATTTGGAAAACACGACGGTAAATAGATGTCTGATGATAGTCAGTACTGTTTGATTGGAAAGCCCACTCCCAGAGACTTGAAGATATGAAGAACAGGTTCGTCATTGAGCTTCCTTGCAGAAAATACGTGCAAAAAAAAAAAACAGCTCGACAAGTCAATGACTAAAGTTAAATAAAACTATGATAAGATCGGAGATTACAGGTAAAGAACGTATGCGAAGCGTACGATAGTGTAGTCTAAGAAAATTTTTACTAGAAAAAGTATGAAAGGCGCTACAGCTTCCGAGGATGCATGTTATGTATGAATATGTCAGATGCTATTTAGTGCTCGAATTTGTCGGTTCTCATTATTAGTAGGTTACTAGTTTTACTACGGGTCTATGTGATTTGCGTAATTCTTAAAAGGATACTCATGCACTAACGCTATAGGAAATATCCCTATTTCTACCCGAAAGGCCTGAGGGCTTGCTGCTATTTCGCAAGCTGTAGGTTATAACGATAGGTAAGAACATATTTTCTGGTTGTTTTAGATGTACAACGCCTCTCCAACGGGAACTGTTGGCCTTCGCCTCCGAAGGCTCAAACGAATTATTCCGGGAATTCTGCTCTCGAGGAAGCAAAATCCGTTCAGGTTGGTGGAAGAAATCTTATTGATCTATAGTACGTCGTGGGCTGAGGTAAATCATTTGCTCAATATATAATGCAATAATACTTAGACAATAGAAGAGATTAGGGCGCCATTGGCGTTGTCATGTCGCCGTAGGCTCTCATAAGGTATCCAGTTGATAGGTGCTAAATGTCGAGACAGCTCATACGATTAAATAAAATTAACCCATATAGATTCATGTGACGTAACTCCTTTCGATCCAAGTGAACTTTCAATACATTTTATTTGATTTCTTTTTTCGGTTTCCCTCGAGCCATTTGAAAAGTTTTGCTCTGCTCTAGAGTTGCAAGGCATGCCGATGTTGTAGAATATTGACAGCATCGGAACATCCCCAATATGAAACACGGGCACATTCAGCTACCCCTGTACTGAATGTTTATCTATTATCGACACATTCATGTGTGTATATGCAGAAACGCAATATCCATAGTAGTGACAAGAAAACAATAGAGGTATAATTGCTACAGCAGAGTAACTCGGTAAGCCCGCCATATTCAACTTGTTGATACATTGATCTGCCGTTAGGGTTTTTCCGCAACATTGGACGCGTCTGCATTTGTCTCAAGCGCAGTTGGAACCCACCGACAGGGGTTGATTCCTCCCGATTCTTGTAACACATTTTGCCGTTGTTGCTATACGCTTGATGACCCTAGTAGCGTCTGTAGAGCCAGCAGTGCCTATAACGTAGCTTGTCTTATTGATGGGGCCAGTCGGTAGTGCGAGAGCCTCGCCGTAGCGTTTCGTCAGCTGTTTAGCTGATCACACCGGGTCCTGATTTGCCCCTAACTGAGAATGTGTGGTGAGAAAGAAACTGAGAACGGTTTGGTCCCCCCCCCGCCCTTCCTCCCTCCCTCCATCCCACACATGTGCATGTTGTAAAACGTTGTTGCTTGCCGCAACGGATTCTTTTTCTCGTAGCGATGGCTGTGTTAATACCGTTACTCACCGGTAGCAATGGGTTTACTTTCTCCTCTACAAGCCCGTGATATGTCTGCGTCAGCACTCTCTGCTGTTTGCATTGAATTTTGCTTTCTTTCCGCCCCTCAGTTTATCGATGAAGTCCTTCTTCTCTGAAGCGACGTCGTGGGGCATCACGCATCAGTGAATGAAGCGTGAGCGGACGTGCGTGTGCCAGTGGCCCCCAACGACGGAGAGACATAGGAACCCATCGTTGGATCTAGTCGGCGACGGCAACAGTAACAGCAGTTGGAATTCTCCACCGGTTGCCTTCTGGCTCCTATATTACGTATTCGTTTCATGATCACATCATGATAGCGGTGACATAATAGTTCTGGTGCCGTTGATCATGAATTTTGCTCTTGTAAGATAGACCGCGACGATAGATTAGTATAGGAAACGACAGGCATCAGCCTATCGCTAAATAGAATTTCGTTTCATCGCGGCTTGATATAGTGTAGAAGGAGGCTTTGCACTTGCGGTTAGCAAATATCTAATACTAAGCGTTTTGACAGGTATATTTCTATGGATTTCCCCCGTCATTGTAGATAAGGACCGGTACAGAAAACACCCTAGTATGTTGATATATCAAAGGTTTTATTAGGTTCCAACTGATCGGTAATGCATTATATCATTTCAGTTTTTTTCATCTTGTTGAACGAACCTGTATAATACCACTGAACGTGGTGAAGGTAAACAGTGTATCATTATTAGATCTTTTGACACCTGACTTCCTAGATTATGCACGAATTGCTACTTAAACAACAGACCATCCATTGGACAAATGTTATATTTTACGTAAATAGCTAGCTAGCATTTTGATTGATTGATTGATTTTTTTTTAGAGAATCTGTACCCTGCGCCTAACAACTGATGATATGATCGTTCATAATATCGTTTTACTTTATTGCCATCTTGCGTCGACAGACTACCTGAAGCATGCCCCCTGCCTTGGCCAGACTCAGCCGGATCAGAAACGTTGTCTTAATGACGTCCAAGTTGGACTAGAGAAAATCTCTGCCGCGAAATTCAATGAACGTCTGCCGACCGCATGCTGCACCTATGTACGTTACTCATCCTGCACGACCGCCGCTGTGGCGAAGAAGTGCGGTCGCGAAGCTGTCGAGTTTGGTCAACTTTTGTTGAAGATGGCCGCCTCTAATCTTCCCGACACGGTATGCCAGTCATTCAAAAACAATCCGGTCTGCGATACGCTCTTACCGCCAAAGGGAACGCGGCCGACGGGCAAGTCTAACTCGGTCTTATCACGACTTTTCTCAGCCTACCTTGGCAATTAAATAAGGTATTATTGTTAATATCGAATATTTGCAAAGGCACTTACCTATAACATACGTAGACATTAAAAAAAAACCGCACATTGTGCGATACCATATAAAAAAAAAAGTACAGCTCTGTTTGCTTCGCATTTGTTGCCTTTTGTTAGTGTTGCAATTTCAGTGTTCAGCTCAGCCGAAGGCTGAAACAGTATTGGCTGTTACTTGATGAGATTTTCAGATCATGTTTTTATGTGTGAGCTTTTACTGTCAGTAGATTCGTTAATTGACCGCATAAAGGCGACCGTAACCAAAATCCAGTCGTCGTTTTTTTTTCGTTCCTACTTGTAATTTCAAATTTTTACCTCGATTTTTGGCTGAAATAATAGAAAGCATTAGTTTGTGCCATAGCTACGCCACTTAATCAGTATCCACAATACACCGTACGATGAGCAGTAGTCATAAAGAGAGAGATCAGCCAATTTTACGTGTCCAGTTGGTACAGGCTTACGACAAACAAATACGGACATTTGATGTTATCGTAACGATACGACCCCACGGAGAATTAGCAGTAGAGCACCTTTCGCATCCCTTCCGAGCCGCACAACCTCAACTGAGTCAGGAGGAATCCTTACATACTTAGAAATATATCTGGAGATTCTCTAGAGAGGAAGAGCGACTTGACAAACGGCAACAGAAGTATTTCGCCTGTACGTTGGGCGTGCAATGCTATGAATAGTTAATAGATGCGATAAGTATGAGAAACTGCGATCTGCTGCTTAACGAGAGTCTTCGGAAAAAAGGTCCATTTCGAGCTATGGTATCTTCGTGCGTATGTTCATCGAACAGTATACATATGTATGTACAGTGGACAAACGAATTGCAACGGTCACTGACATGCAAGGATATCTCGGGCTATCGGTCAGGCGTAATAGGCCCCGAAACGGACTTCGCTACTCGTTGGTAAATCTTACTATAAGTTATAAACCTATTCTAACTAGTAGTGATGAACAGCTCAGTAAATGCTCGTAAGAGAGGTGGCGAACGGTCATATCAGCGGATCGCGTCACTCAAAAGCACCAGTTTTGTATTGATGTGCTGTATAGAAAGATATCCAGTTTGATACGCGTTTAGCGTGATAAAAGTGAAACACACAGACTGAAAATATCTTACAAAACAAAAAAAAAAACCTATAAATAGAAAAAATAAACGTTAAAATGGAGGTCGTGTTTTTATTCACGTTATACGGGTAAAGTTTTCCTAGCAACTTACAAGTTTTCATTTGACATTTGTTCAGGTAGCAACAGTATATAATCTACTGAGAGGAATGCAAAAGATTAAAATGAATACTACTAAACTGTCTAGTGACTTTTCCAAAACTCGACCATCCTATATATATATATATACCTATATATACACATGTATATATATACATGTGTATTGGTATTCGTGGAATGATTGAATTTAGCCGAGGAACATCAATTACTGGGGTATAAATTGGGTAAGGAAATTCTAGCACTATTCGAAATATTTACTTAAAAAGAGTTACGGACGGCATCAATCAAATATGGCCAGATGCTTATAATGGCAGAAATGCGTGTGACGTAATCTTGTGGGCCTTTAAAAAAGGAAATTTACCTTACGTCACATGTTTCCACTATGATTATCCAGGTTTTAGGACATGAAGATTGGCACAAAATAGGCCCAATAAATTTACTGTTCACCCATTCAATTAAGTGACGTCGTTTAATGATCCGATATTTACAGGTAGAAAAATTGAACCAAATATTGTAACAGTAGCATGTCGTATGTGTTCAAGCGGATCGTTGTGTTTTTTCCCAAGGTTCCTTCTGTCTCACTCCCGAACTCCTGGAACCCCCTGTCAAGTTATGAAAAACATTGGCGTCTAGCGTCCTTGCAAGTTCGAAAGCGTCCTAGAATTTCTATGTAATTTGCTCCCCTTCCCCTCGACCTGATACGTAATCTTTTATCGTAGCGTCCTAGTTTATGCTTCGATTAACGCCGTTATCATAAACAGTTAACTCTCGGCGTCTCTGCCCCTGGCAACGATCTGCCGTATCGAAACGGTCGGTCAGTTACAGTTGTGTCCTCGCTAACGCCCTCAAGACGACAACAGCAACGGCCGCTTCTTTCTGATGGGACAAGGACAGATACCTGCAAAGTAGAAATAAGATTGACACGAAACAAATGCTTCACGCTCGTTTGGTCGATGTGTCAGCATACCCGGAGCAGCCCGGAGGAATACAGAGAATTGTTAAATTTGTTCTTGCTTGCATTTAGAGATTGGCTTTGCATTCCTCTTCTGTTGGAATTTCTAGCGAGTTCTCCAACGAGCTCCGTCCGAACACTGTGTGTGATAAATTGCTATACATGTGTCAGATATACTGGTGAAGATACAGTGATGTACGTCTATAGTTTTTGCTACTAGATACTATGCAATGCTAGGCCACAAAAACATCGATAAATTGTATTTTGATTTGATCATGGGTCAAAGCGGTGGCTGGTTGCTTGCTTCATGTTTTACCGAACCCGTCGTTATTCGATGAACCTCCACAATATATGATAGAATCACTTCCAGCGATCCGGCAATGAAGCTTTCGTTTCATATTAATATTTCGTTCTTCTTGTTGTACGTTCCTATCTACGATAGTTCGTCGACGTTCTGGCCGCCTGGCTACGGCAGGCCAGATCATCAAGCACATTTTGTTATGTAATAATGTTGTGCTTATGCAACCATTCGGCTGGCGCTGATAATGTTGATGGTACTAGTTGTGGCTATTTTCTACGACTTCGGAGGTGTTAGTCCGGCGATGATAGTCACAGTCACATCGTCAGCGTTGACTGTAATACTGGTCGTCTGTATATATCCCTCAGACCCCTATAGATTCCTCGCCAAAGTGACATTAGTCAAAATCAATGTGCGTCGATAGTCGATCGACTCGCAGTCGTTACTATCGACTTGTGCGTACAGGGCGTCTCCGGCGACGGCAGCGTCTGCTGGTGGTGAGCGATAGGGGGACGGGCGTCTTCGGCGCGACAATCTACCGCTAAAACAGTGCTACCGGAGGCGACAGACGTAGTCACGTAGAAAGAACTGCGTGTTGCAGGAGCTCCTGAACTGTTGCGGCTGTTGCTGTATCTAGACGCCCCTCAATCCAAGGTGAGTATCTTGTGATTGATAGTAACTGCCGACTGGTGCTTTAAGCGGCATCAGCCAGTAGCTCTACTGTAGATATCAGTAGTGATCGATGGCAACCAGGCGGCTGGGCAGAGATTGTCGATAAGATAGATTCCGTCGTCCTAGTCAACGTCATCATCGTTCTGGCCAGTGGGCAGTATATGACGCGTGGCGTATGCCCGCCGAGTTCCTGATACACAGACAAACATTGACAGATAAACAGTGTGTCGTTCAGAAAACTCAGATTGGGGTCGTTTATCTGGTAGTTTGTGACACGATACAGCAAAGGCTGCCCAATTTTATTGAACCCATAAAAACGTTAGGATCTAATTCAATAGATAGTGATTGAAAGACTTCGCATATCCTCCTATTTTTGGTTAGCGATACATGCTTTTATCTATGATTAGATTTTGGAGAAGATAAATCGAGCTTCCCCGGGTGAGCATGGAAAATATAGGCAGTCCAAATAACGACCACTGTGTAGCATGTACATATAACACAGTAAATCAATGTTGGTTTACGTATGGCAATTCGAATGGTTCGTGCCTTCCAGCTCTTGCTCGTTCATGTTAATGGACTACTTTTCAAATTTGCTTATAGTATGACATCCTCTCGGTGATTTTCTTATATATCTTATTAGAACGCGCCATTAGAATATGTATCTATGCCCTAAAATCGGTCATGGTAAGGTTTACGAAAGAATGGCTGGCCTCACGAAGTTACTCAGACTTGCTCTATTGGTTGGCTGGATGCTACCAACGTTCATAACACCCGAGCAAATGAAATTGGCAAGGGAATCTATGCTTTTAAATGCTAGTTTAGCGTTGGATACGTGTTACAGCTAACTATTTAACTTTATATTCTATGTTTCTTATTTAGAGTATGTACTCGTTTTAAATTCGTTGTTGTTGTAAATTTTGTTAATAAACTTCCCCGTTACTTTTCAAGCACTCCGTCATCGTTTCATTCGGATCGCGTATTTCAATTTGGAAGTTCGATTTTTTACCACTTTTGCTCAAGTTAGGCGCTTATTATTTCATCAAAGAAAATGTTTATTTATAACTACAAAAAAAACGTTGCAATATCATACGGCAAATCTAAATTGAGCAAGAACAACAACAAAACCCAGCGGAATTTATTAAAAAAAGAAACCAAATGTGACCGAAAATAACTAATCTAGTTTAACCTCTTATTTTTACCTTTCGATTTCTAATATTTTTTCCTTCTCTTAGTTGCATTTTTCAGACTCTGCAATTTTTCAATGAGTTTCCTATACTTTTTATTCTAAATCCCGAGTTCCTGTCGGTTTTTTAATTCATCTCTGAACTAGTTCTGATTTGTTATCTTACGTAATCGAAGTTATTATATGTAAACCTATAGATTTTCTAGAATAGTCGCATTTTAAAAAATGATTCACATTTTTGCTATGCCAACAAAAAAAATAACAGGAGTCTTGTATAATGAATGGCTGTCGAAGGATACACGAAACTACTCGGACGGCAGGGGGTAATGTATTAGGAGCGAGAAGCTACGAGCAGAACAGCAAGAACGTTTCAGATAACCTATCATTATTAGTATGAATAATAGAAAATATACTTACAACAATGTCAAAACTAGATGATTGGCCATATTTAGTTAGAATGTTTAGACAATTTTCGCCCACTTTCTAAAAATTGTCTGATCTATATAACGAAAATAACTAGTCCGTCCACTATCATGTAAAAGATAATTTTGCTCGTATACGTTTTACTGCGTTGTCATATTTATGTATGCAAGTAAAATGTCAAGTGTCTGAGCGTGACAACGTTAGTAACGCGGCTGGGCGGGGAAGCCGAAATGGGGTACTTGTCATCAATCCGTCGATGACCTTAATATAAATGGTTGCACAGATAGCGTTCACGAAGGGCGACCGAAGTCAGCTGCTCTCAAGGGAATGAGATTACTATGCATGAATAGAGGAACTAACAGCAAATCGAGACGCGACCCTGCATGTTACGCCTCAAAGACTTTACAACACTTCTCGTGTTGTTATTAGACTAGATTGTCTACTATTGAATGTTTGTTTATATGTTGACACATATTGACACATTAAAGCCGATAGGCTAAGTTGGCAAATGTTTAAAAATCTATTATACAAAAGTATACTTTTAATAGTACGGCTCTTCTTATTTAGGCATGTAAAGATAATAAGTAATATTCTTATATTATTATGAAAATCGAAAGAAAGTTCGCCTCTTTCATAGAGCAGTTTCCTATCAACTATAAAAGTTTCAAATTAACTTTTATAGTTGATAGGAAACTTTCTTGTTGAATGCAACGAAAAAAAGATGAGGATTAGCATACTCTTTCAGGAAAAAGCGGCCTGAAAAAGCGTTGAGGCGTGATGAAAAGAAGAAGATCCCTTCTGCCGCCTAGGAAGGATCGGAAACACGTCGTAGGCTACACACAGGTTACTAAAGCCTTTGGTAGCATGATCTACTACAGATGACACCTCGAGCTGTTATTTTGCTGTCTCATCATTTGACAAAAGTACGGAAATCGCAGTTAACTGACAGGCTTCCCACAGCGGCGTGTTCGTATGAGCGATGTCGGAAGGCCCAAACAAAATCAGCTATCGCTGATATATGCCTAGCTCTGCTGGGGAGCTATTGGGGGAGCTGGGGAACAGTTGTCCAAGCGATTACCCGTTTTAACAGCATCAACACTAGGCAGAATCTGAAGGAGTCAGAGCACCCCTCACGGAACATTTGATTTAGCCTAGGCAGGCAAGGCCATCGGTGAACTTCAGCTCGCGCCTTTACTTGTGCTGCTCGTTTGGGGAAACCCAAATACGCTAGGGCCAATAGCAAAGTGACAGAATCTTAAGTAGTTACATTGATCACAGTAAATATTGCAGGGTCAACCCAGAGTAGCTCCATCTTCCCCACACCTGCATTCGGCTGAGATCCGGTGAGTTTTTGCTTCATTCTCTACTAAACTGTCTCGACTGGAAAAATTTAGCAGAGAAAAAAGTAGAAGCAATG